ACAGAAGGTGTGGTCATTCACCTGCTCGCTTTCCATGCAGTAACTCCCTACAGGAGGTGTGGTCATTCACCTGCTCGGCGCTTTCCATGCAGTAACTCCCTACAGGAGGTGTGGTCATTCACCTGCTCGCTTTCCATGCAGTAACTCCCTACAGGAGGTGTGGTCATTCACCTGCTCGGCGCTTTCCATGCAGTAACTCCCTACAGAAGGTGTGGTCATTCACCTGCTCGCTTTCCATGCAGTAACTCCCTACAGAAGGTGTGGTCATTCACCTGCTCGCTTTCCATGCAGTAACTCCCTACAGGAGGTGTGGTCATTCACCTGCTTGCTTTCCATGCAGTAACTCCCTACAGAAGGTGTGGTCATTCACCTGCTCGCTTTCCATGCAGTAACTCCCTACAGGAGGTGTGGTCATTCACCTGCTTGCTTTCCATGCAGTAACTCCCTACAGGAAGTGTGGTCATTCACCTGCTCGCTTTCCATGCAGTAACTCCCTACAGGAGGTGTGGTCATTCACCTGCTCGCTTTCCATGCAGTAACTCCCTACAGGAGGTGTGGTCATTCACCTGCTCGGCGCTTTCCATGCAGTAACTCCCTACAGAAGGTGTGGTCATTCACCTGCTCGGCGCTTTCCATGCAGTAACTCCCTACAGAAGGTGTGGTCATTCACCTGCTCGGCGCTTTCCATGCAGTAACTCCCTACACACTTTCCATGCAGTAACTCCCTACAGGAGGTGTGGTCATTCACCTGCTCGCTTTCCATGCAGTAACTCCCTACAGGAGGTGTGGTCATTCACCTGCTCGCTTTCCATGCAGTAACTCCCTACAGAAGGTGTGGTCATTCACCTGCTCGGCGCTTTCCATGCAGTAACTCCCTACAGGAGGTGTGGTCATTCACCTGCTCAGCGCTTTCCATGCAGTAACTCCCTACAGGAGGTGTGGTCATTCACCTGCTCGGCGCTTTCCATGCAGTAACTCCCTACAGAAGGTGTGGTCATTCACCTGCTCGCTTTCCATGCAGTAACTCCCTACAGGAGGTGTGGTCATTCACCTGCTCGCTTTCCATGCGGTAACTCCCTACAGGAGGTGTGGTCATTCACCTGCTCGCTTTACTACTACCCTGCATTGCCAGGGAGGTGAATGTCCTCTGAGGGAAAAGGTGATTTTCGAGAAAGACCTAGATAAAGGCCCTTGTTTTAGTCTTCACCTCTAAGTCTATGGACTTGTGAAGATGATTTCACACTCCTAAGCCCCATTTCTCCTTGTGTGACGGGCGCGTTGTTGGTTTTGCTCACAAACTGTCCTGAGCATTAAATATGGTAAGGTGTGTGCAGTGCCACCAGGGGTCTTAGTGCTTCTACTCATGCAGAGTCACAAGATTACTATGGGACACATTTGTGCCAGCCAGGCAGCGTCAAAATTCCTCCCTGATCCATGACAAAACATTGGGTTGCACTTGGGAGTCCTGCTGAGGAGAGGGATTGTAGGAAACAAGGGGCTGAACATCCACAGAAAACACTAGCCTGGCTCGTAGGAACTCACAGAGTCTGAACCAACAACCAGGGAGCCTGCACAGGACCGACCTAGGCCCTCTGTGACAGTTGTGTAGGTTAGTCTACATGTGGGAATCCCGGCAATGCGAGCAGGGGCTGTCCCTGGTGCTTTAACTGGCTCTTGGAAACCTATACCTTGTGCTGGATTGTTTTGCCCATCCTGAATACAGGGAACCGTGCTTAGTCTTATGGCAGATTGATATGCCATGCTTTGCTAAAGCCCGTGGGAGACTGCCCCTTTCTGAACAATTATTGGAGGTGGGGTTGGTTCGGGGAGGGCAGAGGGGAAGAGGAGAGGGAGTGGGGGGAAAGGAGGCTGTGGTTGGGATATAAAATAAACAAACAAACAAACAAACAAACAAACAAATAAATCTTACAAAAGGATTCCTATCTGCATGGTCTTTGCTGCAGTCCATGCAGGCGATAGTTGATAGTCTCACTGGGGGACATTTGTCTCCCCACATGACATAGTTCTGGATACGGAGGAGCACAAGATCTACATCAGGTGCAGTTGCTGCTTTGGCTGAGAGGCTTCGCCTGCCCTGAGCAGACAGTGTCTAGTCACAGTTCTTTGGTTGTGGCTTTTAGGGCTTTACCGAGGTGACCTGCATTCAGGGAAGGTCAAACAGGCTTCCTTACCAGATGTGTTGCGGCTCATTCATAGATCTTCCCAGTAAGATGCAATTTATGAGTCATGGATCGTTTCTACTGTAAGCAGTGTTGCCTAGCAATATATGTGATGCCTAGGATCTTACCTGGTTTCCAGGGTAACGAAGCTAGGTGGTTATTCCAAAGGTCAGATACTCAGGCAGCAAGGGAAAAGGTTTGCTAATCCTTGCACCCCAGAATGCAAGCAGATCCAGCCAGGAGTCTTATCTGTCAGACTTACCAGAATGTACTATTTCATTCCTTCAAGAAAGACTTGAGAAGTGTGTCAAACAGTCGGAGAACAGCCCAAAGATAAAGAGATATAGTGCCAGCTTTATGCTGTCTCTTCCAGTGCCCTAAATACCATTCATTGCCAGAAGAACTCCTGTTTTATTATTCTTCAAAGACCAGCTCAGAACTTACCTATTGTCTAAAGATGATAAACAGAATATGTCCTTAGCATTCTCTGTCTGTCCACCCTGTGCACATGGTCTGGTGTAGGAGTTCTCTGTCCCTTACAAATAAAAGGTAAACTGTGTTTACATGGGAATGTGTGCTTGAGGAGGGGGCTGCTGCTTCCATCACGTTTGCAGTGGGATCTGTGCTGTCACCCTCTACCAGGAGGTCAGAACCTCATTACTCTATCCTGAGCTTTTCTGTGCACACCTTTGCTTACCGTGTGTGGCCTGTACTTCCTACTAGAGTCCCCTAGAAAGGGAGAGACTGTGCGTATGTGTTTGGGTGAGCTTTTCTGTGCACACCTTTGCTTACCGTGTGTGGCCTGCCTGTACTTCCTACTAGAAAGGGAGAGACTGTGCATATGTGTTTGGGTGTCCTATAGCAGGCCAGCATGTTGCCTTGCTCAGAGCAAGCTCTCAGAATTGGATATTGAAAGAATCACCTGTCAGCATCCTCCTACCTCAGCAGTCAAAGTGATGCTAGTGGTGCCCCATTTGAGTCAGCGCTTCTATTCCTAGCTCTGTCCTGTAGAGCTATAAGTTAAATGTGTGCCCTCTTCCAGTCTGTCATCACCTTTTTATGATACTCAGAGTTGATTGGGAGAAGCTAAGAAAAATGGCTAACATGGTAGGGGAAATCATTCAAAAAGAATAAAAAAGTCTTTTTAATGGAAATGACACGATCGTATCTTAAATATTTTAATTTAACTCTGATCTTCTCAATACACATTATTTTACTTGTATTTTACTAGTAAGAGAAGCAGTAGATATCACCTTAAGCGAAAGATCAATGGTAGCATCACCAGGAGTAAGCTATGCTGATGTAGAGTGGCTGTGACATGTTGGAATGAGAAGGGTCCCTGTTCTTCCCCGGAATGCTTTCCCCAAGCCTGTGGTCCAGACTAATCTAGAGACAGCATCAGAGAAGCGCCAAGTAAGAGGTGTTTTATAGACTGCTGAGAAATGCACACTTAGAAACTGTCATAGACCAGAGGAGGCCTGGATGACACGATGACTAAATGTGCTATGTGCCATGTATTATTGTACCCTGGAATTGAAAAGAGAAACAAAAACAACAAAAAAACCAAACCAAACCAAACCAAACCAAACCAAAACAAAACAAAAAGACTTTGATGAAGAAACTGGGGAAATCCAGATAAAACCTGAGGCTTTGGCAAATCAAACAAATGTTAATTAGAGAAAGGGGTGGGGTGGGGGGTGCATATAGGAGCTATCTTTGACTGTGTATGATCTCTGCAATGTATTTGTAAATCAAAATTATTCAAAAATAAAAGTTTGTTATTAAATTAGAGAAGAGGAAGAAATCACAGAAGAAAGTAACATTTAATTAATATCAATAAACCAAATTAAAAATAGAAAATAACTCTTAAGTATTTATAACAATTATTAGTAAAAGGGTATATCCTTACTATGGAATACATTTTTGTAAATTAATAAAAGTGTGTTGATATCATCTCAAAAAGTAGTTATTGATCACCATCCCCAGAAGAAATGTAGTGATCAATAAATGTAAAAATCAGTTCTATCTTACTAGTAATTTAAGTTGCTAATTAAAGCAGCATTAAATATGCTTTTACCTCGTTCCTTGGGTGAAGATAGAAAGAAGACTGTTTAATTAAGATGAGGTTAGCCCTATGTGGGAAGAAGCTCACCTGCTTACCAGATCTTTCCCCCCCAAGAAATAATCAGATTTCTACATAAATCTTCCAACAGGAATATTCATCTCAAGAGATATTGATTAAGAACTCAAAATTAAATATCTGACAGTGAGGGAATGAACCAGAAAGATTTGACATTCCCACAGACTTTTATAGAGTCACTGGGCATTAGGATGTTTTGAAGAAAATGAAAACAAAGTCTGTTTGTGTCTTCTCAGGGCAAGGCCTCCCCTGTGTGCATGCATGCAGTGTCTGTCTGTCTGTCTTCATAGGGCAAGGCCTCCCATGTTTTCAAGTATGCAATGTCTGTCTGCCTTCTCAGGTCATACATAGCCTCCCCTCTGTGCACTGTGTCTCCTCAGGGTAAGGCAGCCCCTGTGTGTGCACCGTGTCCATGGGAAGGATGGCAATGAAAAGTCTGTCATGTTACACCAGCTGATTTGGGAAGAGTGAGCAAAGGGAGACTTCTGCCTCCTTCATGCCTCTTTGCAGTTTGTAAAACATTGTCTATAATGAGCATATATTACTTTCATAATTGGAGGAAAATTGACACTGGAAGCATGTGGCTAATGAGCTTCTTTCTTCTTTCACGCTGATTTAATTAAAAAAAACATTGCATTTTGTACAGTGGGAAAAAAATACTGTTTCCCTCTTTCCACTAGGAAGCTCCTCAGGGTGCTCCCACTGCCGAGTGAGAACTGGGGCGCTCTGGTTGGAGAGTGGTGCTGTCATCCTGACCCCTTTGCTAATAAGCCTCTACATCCACGAGAAAATGACTGTTTTATTGGGGACACTTTCTTCTTAGTGAATTTGAGAAGTGATTTGGAACAGGTAAGGGTTGAACTGAAGTCTTAAATTGGTAAACATATCTTCACAAAATGCATGCTAACTTAGAGGTTGATTTAGATATCAATTGCCCTGCTTTTAATTCAAGGTTTGTTGAAGAGATTGTTCTAAAAGGCCCAGTTTATTGTTTTTAATGGCTTCTGTTCTCCAACTCTTTGGATCGAGGAAAGGTTTTAAACTCAAGCAGCCATGAGGGTCTGGAGGAACAGGAAATTTATTCGCGCATGGATTTGGGAGTGTCACCAGTTTGCACACATATTGCCCTGCTTTCAGGCCAAACTCTGATCTGTGCACTTTAATCTCAAAAATCTCAGTGGAAGCATAGGAGTGTTAGCCCAGGATATCTATTTCACAATTAGACCCAGGTATCTTACTGTGTTTGCCTACCATCTAGGTGTTCGCTGATGTTGGAAAAGTGAATGCCATCAAACAACAAAACAAAACGAAACAACAACAACAAAACAAAAAACCCAAAATACAAAAAAAAAAACCAAAAACAAAATAACAACAACAACAACAACAAAAGGAACAGGCCAAGGAGCCCTGGAGTGGTGGGAGCTGTGGGCCTGGTGCACAGCAGGGCGGGATCGCATGCTCTCTCTGTGTGGCTTGCTTTGAGTGGAAGGCAACTTCCTCTCACCACAAAGAAATATAAGCCATTTACTTCTCTTTATGAGGAAATCAGCAGGCAGGTGTTGGTATGGTCCTGGTAAGGAGTTCTCTCTAAGATGGCCAGTCAATGAAGATATAATTTAAAACGCCAAGAAAGTCATCACTGGACAGCCTTTATTTCAACAGTGATTATTACTGGCAGGAACGGAAGCATTGTGTTTTAAATTCCAGTTCAAGCTCAGTTAGCTTTTTGTAGCAAAAGCTGAAGCGTGCAGTGGCTCGGCAGCTGGAGACCACAGGCTAGCTTAAAGAACGGTGTGGAAAATGAAGGGAAGGTGTCAGGTACCTAGATAGCTCTCAGTAATAAATACTTAGTGCTTCGTATCACCATAGAAAGAAACCCTTTTGTCTGACATGTAAAGTCCTTGAGTGTTCTGTGTTTTTAACAGGTGAATGATGAGAAGTTAATATAGGTTAATGTCGTAGTTAGGGTTAAATTCATATTTTCATCTGAATTCAGATACTTTGTGTCATGTTTTCTATTTTTATAATTACGCCACCTACTTACAAAGTATTAAAGGTGTGAGGGGAAAACAATGGAGAAAACTTAAATAAGAGAAATGGATTAAGTAGGAGAAATTTAGTTTCCCCTTTTAGGTTAACTGTGTCAAAATATAATCTCTACTTTTACAGTTGTCGTTTATATTCGGTCCTTTTAAAGAATTTCTTGTCCTACCAAATGGTAGTCCTGTACTTTGTACATTAGAAGAAGATTCTTGTATTTGGACATTACAGTGTCCACGGTTAGAGAAGCTGCTGTTGACAAGACTGTTTTCAAGTTGGTCTGGATGGAAGTTTCACTTTAATTGCATATTGTAGCAGTTGACAGAGTGTGCCTGTGACCAAAATAGTAACAAATTTGGAGCGATTGCTTAAACACTGCTCTCAAGGCTCCAGTGGGAACAAGGCTGCTCTGTGCTATTGAAAACCTATTCCTCATCTCACCAGGTCCAGCCATCTAGCAGGATTTGGAAATGTCACATGGTGACACAGCATCCTAATGGTATCTCTTGGGAGCATTTTTTCTTTTTTTTGTGGTGTGTGTGAATGCGAGACACTATCAAGGGTCCTTAGAAATGGAAACAACACAAAAGAAAATAAAATCACGGACAAGAGGCTAATCCAGCTCTCTTGAGCAGTGCTGCCATGTCTCAGATATATTGATTTAATTAGTCCCCAACTATGGCTTTCTTTGAGGTTTGCTCCATAGAGTTCCCACAGTGTTAGGTGGTTTCATTATACAACTTGTTTTATTATTTTCTTGAAGCTTAGCTAGAGAAAAATGCCTTGCTATGAGAAGCTTCTCTTAAACAGAATTAACATGCTGGAGTATTTTAATTAAAAAGATCAGAGTTTGAAAACAGCACAGAGAACCTCACATGCTTTCATTCCTCCGTACTTCCTTGGATTTATGATATTGTATCTGGGCCTCATTAATGCGGCAATGTGTGCTTTGTTTTCAAAAGTCCTCTTCTGTAGACAGTGTTGTGATTCACTGGTCATCACTGATATTATTTTTTGGGCATCCCAACATACTGAATATTTTGCATCTTATAATAGGGTAATAAAGATGAACCTCAATCTTTCATAAGATCATAATATGCTTCAATATTTAGGAAACATAAGCTGGACATGGGAGTTATTATGCCTGTGGTCCTAGCTACACTGGAGATACAGATAGGAGGATGTGTGAGTTCAGGAGTTCAAGTCTAGCCTGAGTGACATAACAAGATCTCATCTTGCAAAACAACAAGACTTAGAAAGTACAATCACTCTTCATTTTATTTTTCTAAAAGAAGCAAAATTGAATTTGGCTGGACATTGTGACCCAGATCAACATTGTTTTTTATTTTTGGGGGGCACTGAGTTAATAATTTATGGGTTTGAGGAATTTCTTTTGTAAAATTCATGTCTACACAGTACATGGATCATCTTTATTACCATGCATGCTTCCTCTTCCCCCTTCTTTTTTCTTGCTAATGTGATTAAAAGCAAATTATAGTATTGTGTCATTTCATCCCTATGTGTTTCCATATGTGTGTAGGTTTAAAAATAAGGATAAAAAAATAACCACAGCTACCATTATTATACCTAATAAAATAAGTTAATACATAAGTTTTATTAATTGTCATCAAAGTATTTTTAGTGGGTTTATTTGAAGCAAAATCCACATATTTGGTTGAGATGATTTATTGATCAATTTTTAAATGCTGATTATCTACATCTTATAAGGTTATAATCTTATTTTTGAAAACAAATAAACAAACCAATGCTTTTACTATTTTGTTAAAAGTTAAAACAGTGGTTAGAGAAATGATTCAGAGGTTAAGAGTACTTTTTTGCAGATGACCCAAGTTTAGGTCCCAGCACCCAAGCCAGGCAGCTTCCAACTGTCTGTAACACCTTCATACACCTGGTGTGTGTGTGTGTGTGTGTGTGTGTGTGTGTGAGAGAGAGAGAGAGAGAGAGAGAGAGAGAGAGGACAGAAAGACAGACAGAGAAGAAAAAGTGACATGACCAATTACAATTGAAATGTGATACCCCCAACACACACACACACACATGCACATATACATATATGCATACACATGCATACATACACACATGAACATATATATATATACACATGCACAGTACACACATGAAAATGCACACACATACATGCACACATAAACATATGCACACATATGCACACATTCACACATATGCACACATGCACAGAATATACATGCACACATATACACACGCGCACACATACACACACACACACACACACACACACACACACACACACACACACACACCCCAGAGCCACCATTTATTTTTCTGGTCTGAGTAGAACAAGATCATTTCTGGCTTTGCTATTCCAGTAAAACCCTTCATTTCAAATTCAAGTTGTATAAAATGGCATCCTTTAAAAAGACAGCTTCAATACCAAATTTGAGGCTGGATGGCTGTTTTTACAGTTAGCCTGAACCTGGAGATCTTGACCTTTATGACTGAGTCGTCTGTCTTACAAGTTCTCTCCTTCCTGGGCATAAGCAGTTTGGCCCTTCCCTTGGTGGTCTGTTGCTTCCGATGGGGATGACTTTGTCCAGTCACCTGCTGTGGTGAGGCTCTGCACCTGCTGTCCGTGATGTGCCAGATTTAAGGATGTTAATGGCTGGACGTGGTGCCACCTGTGGGCCTTGCTTAGGGACTGTGCCTGGTTAGTGCCGGAGCCAACGTGACCAGGCTTGAAGATCTCATATTTGGTAGTTCCCTCAACTGAGACTTGTAGAGAAAGATCAGAGGAGCTGTGTACATCCCAAAGCTAGAGGAAACCAGGGTAGATTTTCGAGTTATTGAAGTATGAAAACACTCATTTCAGAAGTCCCTGAGGAGAACAGGCCCTGGGCATTTGTGAGTTTCTACTAATAGTAGATTCAAAGGTGGGTGAAGAACCAAGTCCTAAAGACCCCACTAGGAGTTGCACAGTTGTTTTTGACTAACATTCAACTAAAGTAAAACATGTATTTTTTATTATTACATTTTCCCTTCATTTTAATTTTATGTGTATGGATGCTTGCTTGCCTGTGTGTATGTCTGCTCAACCAGTGAGTGTAATTCATAGTGTAGGCCAGAAGAGGGCGACAGATTTCCTGAACCTGGTGTTATGGATGTTTATTAGCCACCATGTGGGTGCTGAGAATTAAACCCAGGTCCTCTGGAATAGGAACCAGTACTCTGAATCACTGAGACATCTTTCCAGCCCCAAAGACATGTATTCATTTTTTATGTTTTTCATGCAACTCACTTTTGCCTTCAGGACCTGACAGGTCCCAACCAAGTATATACCAAATCCATTTGATAAAGGATTGCAGCTGTGCACAACCTACTTTATGACTTGGTATGTCAAATAATACTCAGCTCATGATGGGTAGCTCAGGTCACATGGTATCTTGTTGTCACATAGTCAAATGTTCTATTCCCCCTAAGGCCACATAGCAGGCCAAGAAGAACTGTCTCTCAAAAGGAGAATAGTCGTTTGTAGATGATGGTAGACCCTTTCTCCAAAGTCCCATAGATCCCTTCTGTGATGTACCTATCAGGCCTGCTAAAGGCTCCAAACAGCATCCCTATCTTCCACTGGCACCTCAGGTACCCTTGGGTCTGCTGGATCACCAGATGGTAGAACAGCCTGCACAGTAGCCTGGATTGTAAAAGATCCTTCTCCTGTTTTAGGCCCTACTCAAAGCTAGCAGCTTTTGAGTATTTAGTATGTGGGCCGGAGTAACAAATCCAAGTCAGGGATGTGCTGTCTCCAGAATCTAAATAGGCTCACTAAGCATTGGGCTTCTTTCTTGGCAATGGGAGGGTACAGGCAAAGTGACTTACCCTTTATCTTTGAAGGAATATTTCTGCATGTTCCACACTCTGGACTTCTAGAAATTTCACCAAGGCAGAAAGTCGCTGAATTTCTACCCATGGAGGTCAGAGGTGGGCACTGGGATGGAATTTCCATTCCCTGGGATGGAAATTACAGACAGTTGTACACTGCCGTGTGGATGCTGGGAATCAAACTGAGGTCCTCTGGAAGGACAACCAGTGCTCTTCACCACTGAGCTATCTCTCCAGCCCCTCCTCCTCTTTTTAGGTTAAATATTATTTTAACTCAAGGTTTCACTGTTTTACCCAAGGTAGATTAGAACTTGCTATGTATATAGCGCAGGCACACCGTGAACTTGCAATTCTCCTGACTCAGCTTCATAAATGCTGGGATTATAGGTATATAGCACCATGCCCAGCTTCCTTTGCCCATGTTTTTATGACATCAACTACATCGTGATCTGTATGTGCATAAAGAACATTGTGTAGCTTTGATGAGGAATTACTGTGGGTCCAAAAAGTGCACTCTTTAATGATTGGGTGAATGCCAGCATTCAGGCAATAGCCTACTGAACTTGGAGTTTTGAAGTCTGAGAATGTTTCAGGGACTTGTTTCACTACCCATCTCTCCAGTTACAGTGCATATCTTAAATGGAAAAAAATAGAGTTACATGAACAAGTTAGGTATTTTTAACTTCTGAATTATGAGTGGCTATGACTGGTAGGTTGCTTTTACATAAATTGCACTGGCCTTCGAGTCCATGTATGAGTTAGAGCTCCAATCCTTCTGTATTCCGTACACTGTGAGTTAGGGTAAGTCATCTACCATTGCCCCTGTCACCCACCCTGCCTGTTCTTCAGAAAATATGAAGTGTTTCTTGTTCAGATTATTTGGCAATGTTTGGATTATCAAGAAGTGGCTAAGTTTGTAAAAGTCAATCTATGTATTATCCTGTCTTTGGACAGGAGAAAAATGATGTCTGTGCATGTGAATTATGCATACAAGCTAAATGTATTCCTAGTATTGACTTGAGGGCAGAGTGGAATGTAAAGTTCAATGTATACCCTGGGGATTATGTTAAAATTATATATTCCTTTTAAAAAAAAGTTGAATGACATTTAAATGACATTTTTTCTCCTCTACAGGAACCAAAAGCAAATACCAAAGTCATTTGTAAGCGTTGCAAGGTAGTGTTGGGAGAGACCATATCATCAGGTAGGAATTTCATAATGCAGGGCTGAAATGACTGCCCTCTTACTTAAAAACAAAACAGATTTTATAGTCAATATATAGGAAAGAGTCATAATTAATTTACTTGATAGAATGCATGGTTTAAAGAAAGAAACCACCTAACGTTTCACCCAGTATGCCAATGAGTCTGTGCTTTCTGACCTTGCAAGTGCTAGTTAGCAGTGAGAAGCCATGGGTTGTCCTCAGTGTTTCATGTCCTCTTTGTAAAGCATCAGTATAGAGTTTGTACTTAGGTCCAACCTAAGGAAGGTTGGAACCTTTTTCTTCACACAATTCTTCTGTCAAAAGAGTTAATACCAGGAGATGGAGAAGTCAAAAGCTGCCATCTGCTTTATCATTGGAAGTAGAAGGGGCCTTGTTGACATACTAGAAAATGCATTCTGGGTTTTGTACTTTGTTCCTTATTCTTTATTTAATTTTCATAAAGACTTTTAAATTTTATTTTGCATGCATGAGTATTTTGTCTGCAAGCATGCATGTAAATCACATGAGTGCCTAGTGCTTGTAGAAGTCAAAGAAAGACATCTGATTTCCTGAGACTGGAGTTTCAGATGGTTGTGAGCCACGATGTGGGTGCTGGAGTTGAACCTGGGTCCTCTTCAAGACGAGCAAGCACTTTTAACCACTGAGCCATCCCTCCAGCCTCTCTCTCTTTTTTTAACTTAAAAAATAGTATTCGTGTGTGCATCTGCATAAAGGAATGTGGAGGTCAGAGGTCAGCATTGTGGAGTTAGTTCTCTCATTCCACCTTTACACAATTTCCAGGGGTCAAAAATCAGGTTGCCTAACTTGCCTGGAAGTGCCCTCACCCACTGAACCATAGCTTTGTGTCTTATTCTTTTTGTCAGTGGTATTACCCTTTCTTCAAACTCTCCAGTATACTACTTTAAAATACAATAATTAAAGATCTTTAAAGATACAGTTTAAAATGTCTAAAGAGCAACAACATGCTGTGTTTTCATGGGTAATGAATCATCACTTTTAATATGATTAATTAGAAGATTTAATTCAAGCTATGCACTTAAGGGAAGGCAGAGAGTGGTTTTTGTATGTTTGTTTGTTTTAATCTTTGGAATCTTATTAGTAGTTTCTTTTTCTGAGTAAGCAGGAAAAGAAACATGCACTGTAAAGATGTCAGTAAGAATATTATCCCTTTCCACCTCTTTCCCTGAGCATGAAAACAACCCCTTTATGTAATTTCTAAAAAATTAAGATATTCAAAGAGACGTTTCCTTGATGATGTGTGAGTACTATACTTATCTATGGGCATAAGAACAAATACTAGAATTAATGCAGGGCTTATGCTAGTTGTAAATTCTCCTCGAATAACTGTGACTTCACCAGCCCTGGGTAGTTGACTAGGTTTCTAGTACCTTGTTGAGTGGGTCCTATATGAAAAGATGTTGGTTACCACCAAGGTACTTTATCTTTAGGGTTATTGTGCCAGGCTGGTTGTGGTTCATAGGTGTCATAGGTGGGTAGGACTGTCGGTTATTTTCCTCCTTTGGTGACTTGCATGTCACAGAAGGCAATTTTTGTAAAAACATTACTGGCTTTCAATACTTGAGCAGAACCTTTCCCCTAGATAGTTGTTGGGGGCTTAACCTAAGCAAGTGCAGTAAATACTCTTCATTCGGGAAGCTGGAATGAACAATGTAAAACTGAACAAGTGGCTGGCAAGATGTTCTTCAGTGGACATCCCAAGCCTGACAACCTAAGTTTGACTTCCTTTAATACACATGGTGGTAGAACAGAATGAAAACCATGTATTGTCCTCTGACAATTTCAAAACTCTTTAAAGATAAATGTAAAACTTTTTCTAAGGAACTGAGTAGAGTTAGTGACTACACTGTAGACATATAGTAGACTTGTTCCACAGTGTAAGTTCAAGCCAATTAACTGGCTACTATATGAATAAACCAAGATCAAAACAAAAATCCATAGTTGATACAGTGTATTACATGCAGTGTCTTGCAATGGTCCAAAATTATTAGATTTTCAAAACAGAAAAAGAGTAATGTATACTCAAGAAAGATAAGGCTTTACACACAGTTGCTGAATAAGTGCATAGATTAGGAAGCTAATCTGTTGAAAAAACTACAACAATAAATAAAGAATTAAAAGAAAAAATCTTTGAATAATTGCAAATATTAAATTCCACAGAAAGCCGGGCGTTGGTGGTGCATGCCTTTAATCCCAGCACTGGGGAGGCAGAGGCAGGAAGATCTCTGTGAGTTCTCGGCCAGCCTGGTCTACAGATCGAGTTCCAGGACAGTTTCCAAAACAATACAGAGAAATCTTGTCTCTAAAAACAAACAAACAAAAAAGAAAACCAAAAAAAAACAAAAAACAAAAAAACCAAAAACAAACCAGATTCCACAGAAAAACAAATAGGTAAATTTAGAATTGAAAATTATAATAATATCTGAAAAGAAAACAATACTAGATGATTGAAAACACAGATTTGAGATGAGAGAAGATTTGAAAAAATATTGAAATTTTAGATTAATAAAAATAGTGAAACCAAAGGGCACAGAGGAGAAATAACTGGAACATCTCAACAGAAGCTCAAACTTATGGGACAGTATCAAGTGTTCAACACACATATAAATGGAGTCTCAGAATAGAGAAAAGAAGAGATAATAAAACAAGTTTGAAAAAGCTGATTGAAATCTGGGAGAAGTTTGGTGGATGACAGTGATTTTTAGGAGAAGGATTTTAGTGAACGCCAGGTGGTATAAAACTGCCAGAAGGCAGCGAGGGGGAAGGGATCAAAGAGCAGAGGGAAACCAAGCACACTCAGGGACTTCATAACACAACTGTCTGGGAATATGGTGACCTCCAAGTGGCATCAGAGTAGACTCACAAAGTGCTGTCAGAAAGACCTATCACCCAATAGTACTGCATCCTGCAAAAATCAATTAAAGAGAAGTTAGAACTGTTTCTAGGTAAATACATAAAAATAAAGTACTATAAGCATACCTGCTCTACAGAAAATCCCAATAGAAGTTCTTCAGGCTGAAGTGGAAGATGCCAGGAGAGTGTCTGGAAAAACAGGAAGGAATGAAGAGTATGGGAAATGAGATGTATATGGGGAAATTACCACAGAAGCAAAGTCAGTCCAGAATTCCAGGCACACCTCCCCTGCAAGGTGCCAGCCTCACACAAATAGAAATGAAGACTATACAGAACAGAGAACATTGTCTCCACAAAAAGCCAAGCTTCTGAACGCTGTACCCCCACCCCCCATCAAGGTGAGCAAAAGGAGAGCTGGGCTAGTCGCAGTAGGTGTCAGCCTTAGCCACTGTGGGAACTTCAGCCATTTAAATTAACATAGTCTGCCTGGGATTAGAACTATCACTATATGCTATCAAAGTCAGACTTCTTTCACCTTTGGAAGGAAACCTTTCCTTCAAAGACAAATTCTTACATGTAAATTTTCAAATACAAAGTTTGTTATACAACTGAAGCTGACCCCCGCCCCCACCCCCATGTCCTGGTTTTCCATAGCTGTGATCAAAATACCAGCAAAGAACTTAAAGGGACAGAATTTATTTTTCCTCCTGGTTTTAGACCTTTTACTCCTTGTCTCTGCTGCGTCTGGACCTGTAAAGAGACAGAAGGACATCGTAGTGGGTTTGCGTGGTAGAGGCTGCTCAGCTCATAACCAATAGTGGGACTTGGGGCTGGGATAGGACACAGACACCCCCCCGTCCCTCCCTCCATCCCCCCCTCAGGACCACCCTGCTAAACTACTTACTCTAGCTAGGGCTCACCTCCTAGACTAGCCATAATTTCTTAAAATAGTGCCAGCAGCTGGGCCTTCAACAGTGAGCCTGTGTGGACACTTTTTTTTATTCATTAATTCATTACAACTTTACCAGGAGCTATCACCGAGAGCTTGCAGTTAAAACAGACTTCTTATTGGAATCGTACTATCATATACAAACTGTAAAACATGCTTGGTATATTTAACAGTGTAGAAGACTGATCTGAAGATGGCTGGACACAAAACGAATGTAATAGTGTGTTTGGAAAAGCTCCATGATAGAATCTCTGTGACTGCACTGCTTTATAATTGAAGCTAGCAGTTTAGAGAGCCGTTGACAGCAGACTAGATATAAGTTAAATCAAGAATTAATAAACAGAAGAAAGATGAGAAGAATCTTTAACCCTGCACACTGCAGCAAAAAGGTAGTGTGTGGGGTATAGACAGATATAGAACCAGGCAATCCACTGTGTGTTTAATTATACATCTTTGTGAAAAGAGGAAAAGATGCAGCATGGGCTGTGCTCGAACAAATTGTTGCTGAGGATTCTAAGAAGCGACGAAGAGCAATCTACAGATTCAAGAGGCACAATGAATTCCAATTCGGTGAGGCCAAAGTAAGATAAGTAAAAGGAAATCTGTGTCTCGGTGCATCAAAGTAATGGCTGCAGAATGAAAAGCAACGAAAAAAAATCTTAAAAGCAACCAAGGGAAAAAATGACAGATCACCTTCAAAGAAACAGCAGTAATGGAAATTTGTAGAGAGGGGATGGCATTGTCAGTGTGCACAAAGAAACGACTGTTAACCCCAGGACTTTGTAGCAACTCAAAGTCCCCTCACCAAAGACACAAACAGAGCAGGATAATAAACCGCTAGCTACTGCCTACTAAGAGGAATTCCACCTGTACCCAGATGGAAGATAGTGACCCCAGAAAGCTCACATAAGATTGATATAGCGGGTGGTTGGATGTGGGTGACAGCAAATGAGTGCCTACTGCATGGAACCAGCGCAGGGGCTCTGGAATTAATAATTACCACCAGCGGGGACCTAAAGGGTCACAGTGTGACAGTAAATGATTCAGTTCTATGTGCGATAATAAGACTTCACAATAGTAAGGTGGAATCGACAGAAATGAAGGAAAATGTATGTTCATGCTTTTAGATACATAATAATGTACAATCATCATTGCATGTTTTTATTGATTATACTTTTTACTTTATTCTGTGTCTTACATCAAGAAATTGGAATTAAAAAACCCTTCTTTTGATATTATTATAAATGGATGACATTATCTTTAAGAAAATACCACTTTAAATTACTTCTGGTTTTATTTTGACCTGCTTAAAACATAAAATGTGCATGAAATTCTATTACCTAAATAACAATTTTCTTCCGCTTTCACAGATCTTAATTTGTTTTCAGTATTTTTATATTAATATTACCATCTCTGTAGTCTACATATTTTACAAGTTTTCATTAAGATAAACTGGTCAGTTCTTGGCTATGATGTTAAACTATACATACCGTTTGAAGGCTTTTGCCAGGAGCCCTCTCAGGAATCTATCATTTTCCATTCTGGCAGTGGTATGTGAGCAAACCTGTCCATTTCTCATAAACATCCACCAGGCTACACTTGCCCTCTAAAAACATTTTGTTTGATGCTAAAAAAGAATTCCATTTTGTTCTTGTTTCCTTTCTTACTAATGAGATTAAACCTTCAAATGGATTTTTAAACAATCCAAGATAGTTATATTAATGTTTATCAAATGTCTAGTCTGCTGTTTAATTGTTTTTATAATTGACAAAATAAGCAGAAAGTCAGATTTGGTGAGGACCATTTGTAAATACAGTCAGTGAGATTCCAGGTAGATAATGATGTCAGGGTTACAGCTCTGTGCTTTGGGGAACCTAACTAACAAGCCTGCCTCAGTCACTCTCTGACTGGTAGCTAATCCACAGAATTGAGGAATCAAAGGTCTTAATTTTGGGCTAAAACTGTGAGATCCCAACTTCCCATGTGCAAGGCCTTCTTGGTGTAGATGCTGAGCAGACTCCACATGTCCTGAAGTCTTGGAGTCTGTTTCTCTTACTTTTTTGAGACAGGGTCTCTCTGTAGCTTTGGAACCTGTCTAGGAACTTGTGCTGTGGACTAGGCTGGCCTCGAACTCACGGAGATCTGCCTGTCTTTCCCTCCTGAGTGCTGGGATTAAATGTGTGAGCCCCTACTGGCTGGCATGGAGCTATCTTTTTACCAAAGGTAGAGTGCCTTTTCCTTAAAACTCAGTACTTTCGGGAAATTGTTATTGAAATACAGTTTTATCAGTCTGTTGAATAATCAAAATAATTTGGAAGGTCATAATTTAGGGCCAGCATGTCTGTGATAGCAGTGTATTGGAAAGATTTTTAATTTTCTTCTTTTTCATTTCCAGAGACAACTAAATTTTACATGACAGAGATAATTATTCAGCCATCTGAGGGAAGTTTTCCTAATATACCAAGGTACATATAACAAATCAAGTTATTGTATAATTTGAAATATATCTCTGTATGACCTTGAAAACATACTTAACATGACTATAAGTTTGGTATTATGGATGCTATCTATTAATCTGTATTTCTTAATTATACATTACATTTTTAAATGAATTCTATAAACATAATACCTTAATCAAGGGTAGAAATATTCATATAGCATAACAAAATTAACCTTAAATTTATGCCAATAAACTAAAATCTATACCAATGAAAAATATTTAGAGACTAATAGTTGTTTTTTTATTAAAGTAAATTCGATTATCTACCATTTTATCCATCATTTCTGTATTATATGCCCTTTGAACATATGTTACAGTTGTGTAGCTTGGTCTTCTTTTGGGACTCCTAACAGCAGGAGCAGGGGCTATCTCTGACTTTGTTACCTGCTTTTGAGACAATTTTCTCCTTCTGGGTTGCTTCATCCAACCTTAATAGGAGAGGAGGTGCCTAGTCTTTCTGCAACTTGATAAACCATGGCTGGTGGATATACATGCGAGGCCAGCCCTTTTCTGAAGAGAAGGAGGAGGAGTTGGTAGAGGGGGAAAAGGGGTGAAGGGACTGGGAGGAGAGGAGAGGAGGGAGGGAGAGGAAATGTGATTGGGCTGGGGGGAGTAAGTAATTAATTAATTTTAGAAAAGAAAAAAGAAAAAGAAATCAGGCTGAGCAAGCCATGGGAAGCAAGTCTGTAAGTAAGCAGCTCCCCTCCATGGCCTCTGCATCAGCTCCTGCCTCCAGGTTCCTGCCCTGCTTGAGTTCCTGTCCTGCCTTCTTTGACAATGAAGAGTGATGGAATTGTTCACCAAAATAAGCCTTTTCCTCCATGTTGCTTTGGTCATGGTGTTTTATCAGAGCAACAGGAACCCTAAGTACAACCATGATAGACTATGAAGTGGAGGAAAAGTAATCCCTTTCTTTACTCAAGCTGGTTTTGTTTTTGTTTTTGTGGTTTTTTTTTTTTTTTTTTTTTTGGTCATGGCATTTATCACAGCAACAGACAGCAAATTAGTACATACATGTTAATTGTACCCTGAATATAAACTTGATAAATTTTATCCTCTTTTATAACTGTTGCTTAAGGCAGTTTAAATGGAGAAGTTCAACACTGATACTGTCTTAGTTATCTATCCACTGTCTGATGAGCTATAGCATGTCAAAGTTGAGCCTTTGGTGTTTTTCCATTCAGCGGGTAAGGTGTGTATGGGTGACTTGTTGCCCTGACAACATAACTAACCAAAGCAACGTAGGAGGAGGTGACTTCAGCCCGCAGTTCAAGAGCACAGTGATTTATGGCAGGGAAGTAATGGTGGCAGGACCTTGAGGCAGCTGGTGACACTGTTCAGGAAGCAGAGAGTGACAAATGCTTGTGCTCAGCTTGCTTTCACCTTCTTACTCAGTCCTTGGAGCATGAAACAGCGCTCTTCACAGTAAAGACTGGCCTTTCTACTTTAATTATTCTAGTAATTATTCAACAATCCCTTGTAGACAGGGCCAGAAATTTGCCTCCTAGGTGATTTTACATCGTGTCAAGTTGTTGGTCAATATGAATTTGTCACGGGAATAGTTACATTTGGGATGGAAAATACATTAATGCTAGCGAGATGAGTTTTAAGGGGAACGGAGCACACACGAATACATTCTAATTTTCCAAAGTGCAAGTTAGTTAAGACTTGGCAGCAATGGATGGTGGTCAGAGGAGCCTGGCGCATGCTTTTAGGTACCTGTGCATCCTTCCGACCCATGTTGTTAGTAAGAATTATGGGAGGTGCATGGTGACAATGACTTTCTGTTCCAACAGGTCTCAGTTTGTTCAGAGTGTCATTGCCCGGTGCCTGGTGGAACTCTCCTCTGCGAGAAGCACTTTTAGATTCACGATTCAAGGTCAGGATGGCAAAGTGTACATCTTGGTAAGGAAATTTCTCATCCACTGTTTGATGGCCTTGTAATCCAGGGTTTCAGAAACTTTTTAGTTTCCATCATTCTATTTTCTTACCTCTCAAGTCTGGAAACTAGAACATGACCATAAACTGAACTTCTAATATCAGGTAAGCCATAAATCAAGCTTACTTCATTTACTAACACATGACTGGGTACCTTTGTATCCTAGACTCTGAGGACGCAGACAGAAGGGAAACTCAGTTTCTGTCCTTTATAAGCTCATACCCAAAATGATGCTTTTTGCCCTTGGTGATGGCTCTTGTGTCACATAACTCTTTATCATTCTCCTCTCTCTGTATTTGTTACTCTTAGCATTGAAATGGGATACTTCTGTGTCTGCCTCTGGCAGCTTGGTATTTGAGAAACAGTAGCAAATATGGAGAAGAAGCTGGCGTTGTTGGATCTATAAACCCCATGTGCTGCAGGGGCCAGCATCATCCTGCCCTCTGTTTAGAATGCTCTGTACAAGTAAATTTTGCCCCTTTGTTTAGAAACCCAAACGGCCTAGACCATACTATTCTCTGTGTTGGTTTTCTTCAACTAGTTAAACCATATGGAGTGTTTCTTATTTGAAAAACTAGGAAACTCACAGAATAATGTGTGATAGCAGTGTCATAGTTTGAAATTACTGTTTGTTTTCTTTGTGTGTACCTGCATGTGTGAGGACATACATGTTTGGATGGAGGTCAGGGGTCCATGTATAGTGTCTACCTGTTTTTTGTATGTTTTTTTTTTGAGATGATCTCTCACCAAGGCTGAAGCTCAGCCAATTAGACTGGAAGTGTCCAGGGAGCCCCAGGGATCTGCCTGCCTCTGCCCACTAGTGTAGAGATTATAGCCACATTCTGCAATCCCAGGTTTTTACATGGGCTCTGGAGATTGAACTTGGGTCCTCATTCTTGCATATCAAGCACTTCATTGCTCAACCCATGTTCCTAGCCCTAGTTTTCTTGTATTGAAAGAGTTTCTAGCTGAAAGTTATCTTTTAATTTTCTTAACATTGAAGTTTTGTTTTTCTTACTTTTTTGCTTTGGGGAATATGTTTTGAAAATATTTTCAGACAGTAGGAAGAACCTAAAAGCTGTTTTCCCTGTCCTGTCTACTCTCCAAGACTAGGTTTGTCATGATTTCCAGAAGCAATTGTAACAGTTTGATATATATACATATATATCTCATATATGCATGTTTATATATATATATTTCTACCCATATCCGAATTCTCACAGGTACATGAGTTTTTAGTGAAAAACAAAACTATTAATTATTAGCTTTTCGGTTTCATGAAACTGAAAATGAGGATTGTTTCTTGTTGGCATAAATGTAGGTTGAATTCTATTCAATTCTTTTTGTTTGTTTGTTTGTTTGTTTGTTTTGGGGGCACAGGGTTTCTCTGTGGCTTTGGAGCCTGTCCTGGAACTCACTCTGTAGACCAAGCTGGACTCCAACTCACAGAGATCCACTTACCTCTGCCTCCCACCAGCCAGGCATGCACCACCACCGGCCAGGCTGAATACCATTCTCTGTTGTTTTTTTTTGAGACAGGGTTTCTCTGTGTAGCTTTTGGAGGCTGTCCTGGAACTCTCTCCGTAGATCAGGCTGGCCTTGAACTCACAGAGATCTGTCTGCCTCTGCCCCCTGAGCTCTGGGACTAAAGGCATGCTCCACCACTGTCCAGTGCTCTATCTATTAAGTGTAGTGCAAACATATAAATTTACCCACGTTCCTGTTAGTTGTATAGACATGTTTATTGTTCATCTCATGCCTGCATTCTCCTTCTATTCTTTGCATGTCATGTTGAACCCCTCACTGATGTTTGGGAACTCCAAATATTTCAGATTGATTATAGAGTTGTAGTTTATATAGTAAATAGTTTTTCCTAATCAGTTTTTTAAAAACATCATATGGCTGCTCTCCCAAATGTTCCACTATTTATTAAAAATAAAAGCCTACCCTACTTACACATTATATATGTAATTATGTTTCTTGTTATTTTTTGTGGGTTTTTGTAGTGACTGTGTACAATATAGATAGAGTCGCATTATTCTCCTCTGTTGACTTCTCTTCCCAAACTTTAGCTCTGGATATTAAACTCAGACAGTTTGGTGATTGAACCACTGAGAAGTTCCAGGTGTGTCAGGAAGTTCCCGCTGTTGGAAAATGCATCGGAAGCTGACTCCAGCTCTGCCTGGAATGCAGTCAAAGTCCTCTACCAGCCCTGCATCAAAAGCAGGAATGAAGAGTAAGTTGTGCTTGTGTTTTTTCTGTTCCACGTTGCATTTCAGCTGTGATCACTGTGCTGGCACTAAGAAGTCAACGAGTTAAATGCTCTTTGATGCTGCTAGGAGTCACACTGCTGAATATTGTGCTTTGCAAGTAGACAGAATTATTACAGATAATTCTGACCAATATGCAGAGTACTTGCTTTTCCTGAAAACAGTTAGCTTTTTTAATTACAATCTCAGCTGTCTGTACAGATGGCTACTATGCTAAGGCTGTATTCAACAACTCAGCACTGCCTAAAGCTCTATTCAGGCTTTCAGGGTACCGCCGTGAGAGAACAATCCCCATCTTTGGGTTTGCTTTTGTAACACACAGAAATGGCCAAGAAACAGAACAATAAACACATTAGAAGATTTCTATGACTTCTGTGTGCCCAGTGTGCATCTGACCCCCCTCCCCCGCCAGCACCCAGTTCACGTAAGATTAAAACAGCTTTGTGAAGTAGGTGCTGTCTTGACCCTGGTTTTAAAGATCAGAATTCTAGGATGCGGTGGCTGAAGTACAGAAAAGCAGAAGCGAATGAGGTAAATGGTACTTAGGAGGCTGCACTCTGTACTGAAAAGCAAGAGGTTCATCACTTAACGTAGGTAGTAAATGGAAACTTGGAGGAAGTGAGGCAGTAGGGATGTCTGGTGAACAACAGCCTTCAAAGCAGGAGACATCAAGTATTTTAGTTGGATGGTCGGAAGTTTATGCTCGTTCTCTGCTGCCTGATGAATTTGATCAAATGTGTGATAGGAACAGAAAGATCCCAGTTCCTTTTTTTCTGATAGTAAATAAGAGTTAGTTTTTAAAATCAGTGCTACTTTTTAAAATTGTGCAAGCAGTACAAACCATAAAAGATTCAAATAAGCTGAAAATTTGAATATGTGTAGACTATGGAAGTCATGTTCCTCTCCATGAGTAAAAGGTATGTTTGTGTGTATTCAATTCTTGTTTGTATTCATTTTGCATGGACAAAATTTGGATGATAGGCATATGCCTTTCACACTTAATGTGAATAAAACCCTTTCATTGGAAGGTCTTCCATGGCAGTGCATGATATTATATGAAACAGATAAATGGTAAATAGTTTAACCATGTTTCTCATTCATAGATATTTCCATTCCTGCTTTTTGCTGTTATAATTAATGTAGAGCTATATACTGTTACATCATTGTTTTCTAATTATGTGTACTTTGTTTTAATAAGAGAGGTTTAAAGAGGTGTAATTGTAGACTTGAGAGTATGTACATTTAAATTTTTTGGTAGGTAATCTCAATTGCTTTGCAGAATGACACTCCAAACTTATACTGTGACCTGTAGTTTCCTTTTTGCTCATTTCCCTAGTTTTATCAGGACTAATATTTACATTTTGCCCATGTGATGCTGTTTAAACAATAAAGGGTCAGCTGATTATCCTTATGTACTATTTGGCATGTTCGAGAACAAGCTTCTGTGTTTTGTGCATTGAGACTTTGGAGTGACTAATAAATGGCCTGCTCTTAAGCTGCTCATTGATATGTCTTTTGTTGATGTGTGCATGTACCATTGCAGACTTAGATTTATATAGTCACTTATTGAAAATTCCTTTTATTTGTATTTCTTTTGAAACATAGTCTTGAGAATGATGGTTTAAATCTCAAGTAGTATAATTAATAGAAATCATTTTTGTGCATCTTCTAATTTGAAGGTATGTAACTGAATGTGTTTGTGGCATGACCATTTGCCTGGTTGTATACTTCATCAATAGGACAGTTGTTTCTTTCCCACTGATGCTAATTTTATTTCTAGTTGGTCTCCTGTTGACATTGCTATATTTTATTGCATTTCTCTATTTTTACCTGCCTTGTGTCATTTTATCTTGTGTGTGTTTCATTAATTTGTACTTTGTAAATGGCATGCAGCTGTAAGTTTCAAAGCTTCAATGAGAGTGAATGCATTCTTGTTTTTATTTTATATTAATATTTAATTAATTAGTTAGTTAATTTGCCTCGGATGATTGTGAATGCATTGGTACCATGGTGGGGCAGCATTTTGGGAACTGTTCTTTTCTCCTTGTTTCAAGGCAAGCTCTTTCTTGTTTCTGTTGCTGGCCAGGGAGCTACTGGATAATTCTCTTCTCTTCACATCCTGTCCCACTAAAGGGATGCTGTGATTACAGATATGTATCACTATATCCATTTGTTATCACATGTGTTCCCAGGACTAAACCCAGGTTCACAAGCTTATGAGGCAAGCACTGTTACCCACTGAGCTCTCTCCTTAGTGCAGGTCTCCCGTTTACATGGTGGGTTTAATTACATTTTCTTTTAATTGTGATTATTCGCATACTTGGACGTAGTCCGCTATCATTTAGTTAGTTGCCTTCTCTGTGCCATTACTGTCTTCTGATTACTTAAGAGTAAAAAAATACCAATTTCAAGATGGTTTTCATGGTTAGCCTAAAAATTTTAATGCGCATATTTAAGCTAATTTCTTTCACTACCCATGTCTTAACTTAAATCGCATTTTTGCTCTTCAGTGAAATGGAGTTTCATTGCTCTTCTATTGTTTCCTTCTCAGCTATTCCCTTTGCTGTGTTGAAAACTATTGTCATTCTGATGATTATGACATTTCTTCACGTATCCAGCCAGAGTCTACCCCATTAGCTTGTCTCTTATGCATTAGATCATTAATATATACATAGTTGTGTATTTCTATAGAAATTAGAAAGTGTGTAGGGGTGACCCCACAATACTGTCCACGCCCAAAGGGGTGGGGACAGGAGATGGGCACAGGAGAGATATTTAAGGAAAGGAAAAGGAAAAGCTCTCTCTCTTGGAAACCTGTCACGCTTCTGACCTTTCAGCTTGTGTGTAAATTCTTTCTCTGGTAAATAAATGTATTATATTCCATATTGCATTGACCTCCCTCATCAAAAGATTTCGCTGTTTTATAAATCCTCATAAACATATCACTATATTCTACATTTTTGCAACTTGTTTCCTGTTCAGTATTCCTTTTTTTCTGCTTGATAAGGCACATTTTTGTTTGCTTTTCTTTTTTTAATTTTTAAAATGTATTTTTATTTATATGTATAGTGTTTGCATGTAGTTGCCAGTAGGGGGAGTCAGGCTTACTGGAACTGAGGTTAAAGATGGTTATGAGCAGTCTTGTGGATGCTGGAAACAGATTCTAAGTCTGCAGCAAGAACACAGCAGGTGCTCTTTATCCCCGAGCCTTCCCTCCAGCTCCTGGTGCTTTATCTTTGTTCTTCAAGACAGGAATCACAGTCTGATAGCAAGCCTGGCCAGGAACTCACAGTACAATCCAGACTGGTCTTTAATTCTTGATGATCTTCCTGCTTCAGCCTCTCAGAGTATTAGGGATATAAGTGTGAGAAATCAACGGCTTGATAAATTATGCTTTCTAGTTGTTCTTCCAAATTTGTGCTTTATTCAATTCTTAATATCTGAAAGTATCTTACACTTGATCTGTCTCTGAAAAAAATTAAACATCTTTTTAAAAAGATCACCCTCCCTGGGGATCAGAGTGGAGATTGGGTGGGGAGCTGGGAGGCATGGTGAGCAGGGTGAGGGAGGAGGGGAGGGAGAGGGACCTGGGATTGACATATGAAGTAAGCTTGTTTCTAACTTAAATAAAAAAAGGAAGGAATAAAAAGTTTAGTGTGTGTACACATGCCATAACATGTGGGTGGAGATCGCAGGACAACTTACAGGAGTCAGTTCTCTCCCTCCGTATGTTCTGGGGATGGAACTCAGGCCCTTAGGCTCAGCAGCAAGTACCCTGGACTCACTGGGATATCTTACCAACCCTGAAAACCCATTAAGATATATTCTTTGCTTGTCTAAGATTTCATATAGGTGTACACAGAATTTCGTCAAACCATACCTCTTCCTAAGGATATTAGTCTTGAGGCTTATAATTATTCTTAAACCTTCCTGTTTTCTCTGTTCACTTTTTTCTTTCTATATTAACTCTTCTTTTTGGGGGGGGGGAGAAAGTTTGAGTTAAATGCCTCTTTTTCATGGCTTTTCTCTTCCTATATGTTTGAGGGATTGATTAAAATTCCTGTGCTAACCTAGGCATTCTGGTAGTAGCTAGGACTGCCTCTGTGCTGCCCACCTTGCTTGAGAAAGAATTCAAAGCAGTGTCTTTGTACAGTGACACAGGGTATTTCTTTGTTTGGTAATTGCAGTTCCTTTGCTGGTGACTGTAGATTCTTGGTACCATAGCCTGCCTTCGTGGACGAGAGAGAGAATTAAGAAGGATAGGCCAGTAAAGATGTAATATGTACCACTTTGCTGTCATTGTTTTGTTTTATTTGTGTTTTGGACAGGGTCTCCCATAACCCAGGCTAACTTGGAGCTACATTCTTGCCTCTAACTCCTGAATGCTGATATTAGAGTATGCACTACCCTGCCCAACTCATTTTTCTCTTGGTAACTTTTGAATATTAAAAAATGATTCTGTCACATTGATATGTTGCATATTGATTATGTGAAGGATCTTTACATTTTCTCATGGAACATTATGTGAATTTAGTGAACTGTCCCTGTTATTTTACTCATTGTTTGTTTTAAATCTTTGTGTGCATGTGTGCATGCCATGACACATGTGTGGAAGTCAGAGGTAGCCTTGGGTGTCTGTTCTCGCCACACACCCCTCCCCCTTGTTTTTATACAGGGTCTCTGATTGTTTTGCCAGTACATATGACAGGCTGGCTGGCCAGCGAGTTTCTGATAGTCTCTTGACCCCTTCTCTCATCTTGCAGTAGGAGCGCTAAGGTGATAGATGAACACTACCATGTCCAGTTTTCTGGATTTGGGGGTCAGAGTTCAGGTCTGCACACTTGGGCAGTAGACACTTTACTCACTGAGCCCCTCTCAAGCCCCATTTAGATGGGGAATGTCCTTCTGTATATATGTTTCTCTTATTGGTTGACGAATAAAACACTGTTTGTCCAGTGAGGCGGGA